TCCATCAGCTTCAACAGCCCACTCATAATTTTTGTGGCCCTCCTCTGGACCTGCTCCAACAGGTCCATGTCCTTCTTATGCTGGGTGTTCTAGAACTGGACGCAGCACTCCAGGTGGGGGACTCACGAGAGCAAAGTAGAGGGGGAAAGTCACTCCCCTTGATCCAGTGATCATGTTACTTTTGATGCAGCCCAGGATACAATCGCCTTTCTGGGCTTGGAGTGCACATTGCTGGGTGTTGTTCAGCTTCTCATCTATGGGTATTCACAACAATTTCTCCATAGGGCTGCTCTCAATCTGTTCATCCATCAGTCTATACTGGTAATGGCCATTGCCTCAAACCAGATGCAGGACCTTGTATTTGGCATTATTAAACTTTATGATGTTTGTACATGCCAACTCCTCAAGCCTGTCAAGATCCTCTGGATCTGGTATACCATCCCCTATATCAATTGAACTGCTCAGCTTGGTGTCCTCCACAAAGTTCCTGAAGGTGCATTCAATCCCACTATGTCATTAATAAAGATATTAAAATAGACCCCCTAGGGGGATATCACTCAGCATTAGTAGCTCTTTGCTTGCAGCCATACAATTCCTTGCCATCTAATAGTCCATCCATGAAATCTGCATCAATTTAGAGACAAAAAGATTGTGTGAGACAGTATTAAAGGTTATACAGAAGTTAAGTGACATCAATTACTCTTCCTTTKTCCATTGATGCAGTCACTTCATCCTAGAAGGTCACTAGATCAGTCAGGCATGATTCACTCTTGGCAAATCCATGTTGGCTTTCTCTAATCAACTTCATACAATCACATCTCACATGCTTTGACAAAATTTCCAGGAGGACCTGCTCCATGATCCTGACTGGTCAGCAGTTCYGAGCATCTGGGTGTGATACTCCTTTTCCTCCAGTGCCTGAAGTAGGTACAGGTAGTCAGTGTAACTCCAGTCACCAAATGGTAGTCACAGCTTGATTATCATGACTTTTCAAATATGATGGAGACCTGGCTTAGCAATTATACCTGCCAATTCCCTCAGAATCCCAGGATGTCTCTTAGACTAAAATTAACACCGTATACATTCCAAATCACCCTTGTATTTTAAATCTTTATGTACCTGCTTGATACTCTTTTCCATTTTCTTGCTGCTGTTGGCAAACAGACTTTAGGGAATTTTGATAAGAAAATTTCAACAGAAGCAAAAAACCAACACTACTACACAAGTTATTTTATAGGTTTAATATTAATTTTATTTTCATTACAATTTTGATGGAGGAGAAAAAATTGTAAKATCAGAGGTTGGAAAGATGCTGGGRGCATAAAGTATAATAGTTCTATAACAGCAAGACAGGCTGCAATTAAACTTTTGTGCCGTTGGACATTCTCTTCATGCACGTAGGTGGGTGAATGCCCAATGCCACGCTGGCAAAGCAGATCTCACACTCCCCTCTAGTGACCGAGCACGACCTCCAGCGAACAGCCCAAGGGCCAGAGGCCGGTCGGCAGCCTGGACACCTCTGCTGCTAAAACAGCTGCTCCCAGTAGGATCCCACATAATTACAGTTGGGGCTCTTAGTTTTATSTTATAGTAGGATTCACACTAAGTTAAATTACCTCATTTCAGACATGAAAGAATTTTGGGTGGGCTAGTATATTACTAGTATATTTGCCCCTTGCACTCATGTATTGTTGTACATAAATTATAATGAAATCATACATGATCAGTGTAACTAATGTGTGCATTGCAGCACACATACTCTGAGGTTATCAAGTTTGTCCATGTGTCCTTGAATTCTACATATCCTTTTATTAATTCTTTTCCAACAGTGATCATGCAGTGAGCACAAGCCTAGAAGCACCATCTTAAAGTGTTCTTCTGTAGACACAATTTTTGTTTGGACATGTACCACCTTAATGCAATGACTGAGGAAAAAAAACCTCCATAGCTGCTGAAACAGCAGCCTGCTGATACATAATGCTTGAAACATATTTTCTGAGGCACCATTTATCATTGCCATCACAGTGCACAACAACTTATTACAGTAAATTGCTCTCATATCACACAACAGTCACTCTCAACCTTAAAAATACAATGCCAGCTCATAATTGTATTATTAGGAGTTACAAGAATCTTAAAATAATTCTAAAAATAAAATCTATACAGGGCAATGAGGAAACACAATCAGCATGAAAATTACTACCTGCCAGCTTTATAACTACAGTCACTATAGCTCATTACATGTCTKCAGTAAAGGAATACTTTGCTTCCTATGAGCATTAGGGAGTCCTCAAAGCACTCTCAGGTGAGGAGGAAGAGCTAGGAACTACCTAACTTTGTATGCCTTACAATCTGAGAAACACACTTCTATCAATTTGCCGAAAGAGGGATGCCACCCTCCTTCTCTACAAAATCACAGCCTTTCTTTTGCTTTATGACTATCATCTCGCAATTTGTAATTCAGAAATTTTGTGGGAAGGTAGACATTCCAGTTTATTGCTAGCATCCCAAAATTAGTAAAAGCACAGCAGCTCCAAAGAAGGCAAAAGGAAAAGGATTCAGTAGGACTGGGAATTGTCATTCACCTCAGTTTCTACATAAAGTAACATGTTTCTGACCTCTGGGATTAAATGAGCTTCCAGAATAGATCCAAACCTTAAAAGTTAAGGTACAAGAAATACTGAAATACTGCAGCACACAATTTAAGCAGCACAGAGGGTACTTCCTCTCATTCATGAGATAAGAAGACACAGAATAAATTAGGATCACACAAAGTTTGATACTAACCCAGAGGGATAAAATCTAAATGTAGTCTCCTTGATGAGACACATCATTCACAGCTGATAAAACCTGGGAGAAAGAGGATAATTGGAAAAATGGTTGCAAAAGGCTGGAATACTTTATTGTGGTGAAGAGGCAAATTTAAGTTTAACTAGTCAACTTATCGTTCCTGCAGCGGGGTAGAATGCAGAACATTTAAGTCTCATCATTACTAACTTTTTTAATGTTACATTTTACTTTGTGATCTAAATCACAGGGACTACAATGATAGGATGGGAGGGTGAGCTGTGTAGAAGAGACAAAACCAAACAATCAAAAACAACCCCAAAAACAAAACTCCATCAACAAGCCAAGCCAAAAACAAATAATGCTGAAAAAAACCTGCAGCTTTTGCTAGGTCCAAGTTAAAGTCAATGTATTCTGACCCACCACTTATTTTTCAAAAAACGTTTCATATTGTGAAGTTGAAATGGCAAATTATCAGCCATCAGCGCAAGGAGTGTGTCTTGCGTTGATGTTGTGCTAATCCTGTATTCCCATATTCCGTCAGCTTGTGTGTCCAAAAGATGTCTGTGCCTTTAAATCTGATCTGGAAGAAGGGGCAGGGACAGCGCGGGCAGTTCAAAAGCTGGGGCTGCCACGCAGCCGGGGACTTTTGGACCTCAGGTTGCTGCATGCTGCAGAGTTACATTGTTGCTGTTTAGCTAGCTTGCGTTTGTTAGTTTGGGCAAACAGCTTTCCCTGGACTGCCACCACCCTCTACTGCTCCTGGTTTTTTTTTTCCTTCTGGATCAATTCGGCAGCTGGTGGGGAGAAGCTGTGCTGCTCTGTCTCATCCCGGACTCCGGAAGGAGCCAAGCTGGTGACAGAAAAGCACACCGAGCCCTCTGTTTCACCCACAGTGAGAAGAGGACTAGCATCAGGTTTTTCCACTGTTGCCGAAGAGCCATGTGGACTTCTCTCCCCCCCCGGGGACAGGGGCCATGCCGACTTTTCTCCACACCACGTGGCCGAGCGGATGTGGGGGAAGGGGGCGGCAGGCGTTCCTGGGTTTTAAATATCTAACAGTTACTTTTTAATCTGTGTCCTGTRGGCAGTGTGTTTTGTTAATAAATGACGTTTTTTTTCCTCTTCACTTTTGCCCGAACATCTATTTCATATTGATGGGAAAAATTATAAAATTTTTCAGAGGAAACATTTACTCTGTAMCGTTTTTTTCTCTGAAAACATTGTCTCAAACTGAGACAGAATGACAGCAGATTTTCATGGAAACTGCCTTATATGCTTGTGATAATCCTGCTTTTTTTTACCACTTTCAAAAGTATTATTTTAAATGTGCATTTCATGGTTAAACACAATTTTGAACTGTCCTATAAGTAACAACTCTTATATGTTGGCCTAATTACTGACCTGATTCTGTAGAAGTTTAATGTCAGAACAAACTGTAAAAGGCAGACTGGATTTAAAAAAGAAAATTGCAGTATGAGTTACTTCTTCAGAAACAGTTGCATATTGAATGACGGCTTTGCTATCCCAGCCCTCCTTTTTGCTAATTCCTGTCAACCCTGTTTTTAAGAGCAGAGCTTTGGGAGCAGTACTTTTCCAGTGAGGTTGGTTCCCTAACCTAGCTTTTCATGAAGCTGCATAAACATTCACAGCTCTACTAACTTCAATGTTGCARTGTTGGGGGTTTCTTAATTTTTGTTTAAGGTAAGGGGTAGTTTTTTAGAGCATTAAAGATCTGTTTAAAGACTGCTCTGTATGATACAAACGTGAGTGCCTTAGAAATCTAGAAAGTATTAACAAGAAACATCTGGGGAAAAAAAAAAAAAAAAGACAAGAGGCCAAATTGCCTAGAGTGGCTTAATATAAAATCATTCTGAGATTTTAAACACAGCTGTCCTGCATGAATTTATGTCACAAAACTAAGGTAACAGGGGCCAGACGCTTATCGAACCTCCCAACTACGTCTGCGGCACTCCGCAGACTCCAGCATCCGCCGAACCGCGGCTCCCACTAAGAGCTCGGCCCCCGCAACTAGTAAGCCGCGTGTCCCGAGCACCGGATAAACTCGGAGGCTTTAATTCTCCCCGTCCTGACCGGCGATGCCGTTCCCTTGCACCCCGCCGAGCCGGGGCAGGCGGGGSCGCTGCAGCTTTAAGAGCGATCCGCGCACCCGGCCCGCGGTGCGGCTCCGCCCGGCGCAGCGCGGCCGCGCATGGGCGGATGGGGAGCCGCGCTCTTGGCGCGGCCGATGAATCGGGGGCTCGGCCGGCCGCGCCCGTAGCGCGGGGGCTCTGACGGGCTGCTCCGCCCCGCTCCGCCCATGGCCTCCGCGCTGGTAAGGGCTGGGCTTCGGCCCCTGGCAGCCAGGGCGGCGGGCAGGTGAGCCGCGGCCGCTCGGTATCGCCCGGCGCCGAGGGTTGCCCGGTCACGGCCGCCGTCCCCGCYGGTGGAAGCGCTCCGGACGCCGCGTGCGGAGCGTTAGCGGCCCCTGAAGGGCGGGGGAGGGCGAGCGGGGCCGCCCCCGCCCGCAGCCTGACGATGCGCACCCTCTCCCCAGGAGGACCCCGTCTTGATCCGGCCTTTCCGCGGCCACAGGGCGGCGGTGACGGGCGTCGCCTTCAACGCGGACACAGCGGAGCTGGGTGAGTGCGAGGCTGGGCGCCGTTTGCTTTCCGGGCGTGGCGGCCCGCTCCCTCCTCCCTCTTTCCCTCCACGGAGCCGCCGGGTGGTTCCGGGCTCAGGTCCGGGCGCGGAGGCGGGGCGGGCTTACGCGCCTTCGGGCGGGCTGAGGAGTCTCTGCCCCTTCCTTAAGCGACAACTTTTTGAGCAAACCACAAGGCGGGAGGAGGGGTTTGTCCCGCGGAGAGAGAGGAGGAGGAGGAGGAAGTAAGTGAGGGGAGTGCCGAGGCCGGAGGGGCAGGGGGCTGCTCCGTGCCTCCGCTGCTGTCCAGCTCCTCCGCGCTTCTCCTGGAGTCTGCCGGGCCCACCACGGAGGGGCTGCCTGCAAACTCTGCCGGCGGCCCGAGCCCGAGGCTGGGAGTGCCTGCAGCCCCCTCCGCCCCGGAGGCGCGGGGAGAGCCGGCAGGAGTTCACGGACCCCCTCTCTGCTAGGAGCTGCTTTTAGCTACCTACAATGAGGGTCCGTTTGACGAGAAGATGGACGTGGGTCCGCAAAAGCTGCGTGTTCCTCGGCTTCTTGATGATCGCTTACTTTGTGGTCGAGCTGTCTGTTTCTTCCTTCGGTGCCTCCCTCGCCGGCGAGAGCATCACTAAAGGGAAATGGGAGAGGCGCTTTTCTGACAGAGCAGAAGAARCTGTCGATTTGGCTCGTCCAGTTTATGACAAACCCCCACCCGATCCTTATGCCCCAGGAGAATGGGGTAAACCCTCTCGCCCACAGCTGAGTCCTGAGGAAAAGAAACAGGAAGAAGACCTGATTGAGAAGTATGCAATAAATATTTATTTAAGTGATAAAATCTCTCTTCACCGGCACATTGAGGATAACCGACTGAGTGGTTGTAAAACTAAATCTTACAATTACAGAAGACTGCCCACAACATCTGTTATAATTGCTTTCTACAATGAAGCCTGGTCAACTTTGCTGCGGACGATACATAGTGTTCTTGAAACATCACCTTCAGTGCTTCTGAAAGAAATTATACTGGTGGATGACCTGAGTGATAAAGTGTATTTGAAGGCTGAACTTGAAAAATACATAAGCAGCCTGAAAAGAGTTCGCTTGATAAGAACCAACAAACGAGAAGGATTGGTTCGTGCACGCTTGATTGGCGCTACCTTTGCTACCGGTGACGTCCTCACATTCCTAGACTGTCACTGTGAATGTGTCTCTGGCTGGCTGGAACCACTGCTGGAGAGGATTGCTGAGAATGAGACTGTTATTGTTTGTCCTGTCATTGACACCATTGACTGGAAAACTTTTGAATATTACATGCAAACGGCAGAGCCCATGATTGGGGGGTTTGACTGGCGGCTGACATTCCAGTGGCACTCAGTGCCTAAACATGAACGTCTCAGGCGCAAATCTGAAACTGACCCAATCAGATCCCCAACTATGGCTGGTGGCTTGTTTGCTGTCAGCAAGAAGTATTTTGAGTACCTGGGAACCTATGATACAGGAATGGATGTTTGGGGAGGGGAGAACTTGGAATTATCATTTAGGGTTTGGCAGTGTGGAGGCATGTTGGAAATTCATCCGTGCTCCCATGTGGGCCATGTGTTTCCAAAGCGTGCACCCTATGCTAGACCAAATTTCCTTCAGAACACGGCACGGGCTGCTGAAGTGTGGATGGATGAGTTTAAAGATCACTTCTACAACAGAAATCCTTCGGCAAGAAAAGAAAATTATGGAGATATTTCTGAAAGAAAGATACTTAGAGAGCGTTTGAAATGCAAGAGTTTTCACTGGTATTTAAAAAATGTGTTTGCTGAGTTGCATGTGCCAGAAGATCGTCCTGGCTGGCATGGTGCTATCCGCAGCACAGGAATACCTTCAGAGTGCCTTGACTATGTCTTACAAGAACATAATCCTACTGGGTCTCACCTTTCTCTCTTTGGCTGTCATGGTCAGGGAGGCAACCAATTTTTTGAATATACATCAAATCAGGAGATTAGATTTAACTCGGTAACTGAACTATGTGCTGAAGTCCCTGAGCGTGAAGATTTCATAGGTATGAGAAGCTGCCCAAAAGATGGATCTCCTATCCCAGAAATTATTATCTGGCACTTCAAAGAAGATGGGACTATTTATCATCCACATTCAGGGAAGTGCCTTACTGCTTATCGTACAACTGAGGGGCATGCTGATGTGCAAATGAGAACTTGTAATGCTGGAGACAAAAATCAGATTTGGAAATTTGAGAAATAATCACTGCTGGTAGAATGAATCAAATGGACTGTAATCTCTAAGGTTTTTACACGCGTGAGCAGATAGCAATGAGTGATTGAATATCTTGGAATGTTTTCAGATGTGTATGTAGAGGTGTAGAAAATGTATACTATGATRAACGGTATGGAAAGCAAAAGTGAATGGTGGGGTTTGGTTTCTAAAGCATGGATTAGAACATCTCATGCCTTTTATTTTTGTAAAATTTTGATCTGTTATTACTTTGTCTTGATTATGGTAAAAAAAAAGTCTTCTGAGTGGATTGAGGAGGAATTTTTTTCATTTTAGAATTATGCAATAATCCTGCAAGATAACGTTACGTGAAAATAAAGAATTTTTACTTACAGAAGTAAAAGTTAAGGTTCTTGCAATGGTATTAGCTGACCTATGTTGCAGATACATTAAAAATATGTGTCTAACACCCTAACTAATGCTGCAGTAGCATGTGATTGAACGGACATTGATGTGGAAAGTCGAATCTAAGCCTTGTAATATTCTGCGTTTTCTAGGATTGTACATGCTTCTTAAGGGTACTATATTATATAGAAGAACAGGAAGTTTATTTAGTAGGAGGGCTTTGGCACTGCTTTGTACCTATTGTAAAAATCTTTCCCCATGGGGGTTAGTCAGGAGCTCTCAGGCATTTGGAGAAGAGTGTGGTAGCAGTGGAACCAAGGAAATGCTGGTGATATCACAAATGGAAGAAATAGGGATGACTACAAGTAAGAATTCTGTTTAAAGGTAGTGGAGAAGGAAAAGAACCACAAAATTGCATTAGGTACTTCTGTTTCTTAGCTATATGTTTAGTGTATGCATTGCCTCTGTGTAAGCTTTTCCATATCCCCACATCCTAAGGACACAAAAGTTATCTGATCTAGACCATGTTTAGTTTTTTGGTTTTGTTTTTGTGNTTTTTTTTTTTTTTTTTTTTTTTCATTTGGTCTGTCAGTAGGGTAGAGGAAGGTAACACAGAGAACACTTGAGCTGTTTTATTTTACATTTTGTGTTTTGGCAATAACTGGCATGGATCAGCCCTAGGTAGAGTTTTGAAATAGCATAAGCTGTATTACTTGACTTTGTAGTCAAAACAGTACCATGGGAGATCTTGGGTAAGGTTGGGAAGCTGAAGCTCCTGACATTAGGGGAGTTGAAAAGGCAAAGGGCAGCTTGGAGAAAACAAACATTTGTTGGTTTTTCACAGAATTACTTATTTAGAATGTTTTCTGTTATGCTGAGTTTTGAAGAATACCAGTTCTTGAATCATGTCACTACTCTGTTTTGGTTGTGATTATAGATGGTAGATCTTAGTATCTGTATTTTAGCTTCATATGATTTAAGTTGAACACTTTTCTCAATGTTTTGGGCATTCCAGCTCTTTTTATTGCTTTTGCTGAAGTGATGAATGTTCTTCAGTAGCCACAGTGTAGTAAGTCTTGACTTGGGRCTGGTAGGCAGAAACTTAAGCTAGTGAGCAATAAGAATCTGGATTCTTGAGGAATGTAGTAGATGAGCATTTGCTATGGCTATTAGTAGGTAGAAGGGTTAAAAAGGGACAAGTGAGACCTGATATAGAAAAGTTTTGTCAAGAATAAAGAGTAAGTTAGAACATATTGGTAAATCTTAGGTAAATCAAGCCTAGATCTTAGGCTTGAAAGCTTTGACAGGTTTGGGTGGCAGCAGGCTAAGAYAGTAAATGAACAGAAGAAGAAAATTTGGAGCTTGGAATGTAGCACCGAAACATGCTAAAAATGCTTGCCACTGTGTGGCATGGGTTCTTTCAAGTCTTTAATTTATTTTTAGACAGTTACTTCACTTAGATTTTTTTTTCTTTTTTTTATCTTTCTTTTTTTTCCCTAAGTTTTTTTTTTTGTTGTTTTTATTTGTTTGTTTTGAAAGAAAAAGAAAGAAACTTTTTACTGCATAAGGGAAACATTCCTGAAAAATTCCATTCCACTTTGCAGCACCAATTCTTTCGTGGACCTGCAAGTTATGAACCATTTATCAAATTTTAAAAGGGAACCAGTCATTATGTACTGGGGCAATAAATTATATAAAGTATGTGCTTTTATGAAAAGCTTACTTTAGAATGTAGCTTCTATTACATTCAATAGAAATGACAGGAAAAAAGCCTGGGTTCTCCAATATGGCAGATCATAAATTGTATGTGCAATGCATGTTTCTTCAGAAAGTAATTAAGTGGTATGAATATAAACTATGCAATTTTTATACAGTTGATTTTTTTAGCACTTGGCAAAAAAATACTTTTCATTTTAAAAATACCTTCAAGTTAAATGTGACATTCAAAGTGTTCCTTATCTATTTAAGCAGTAATTCCAAGTGAATCTGCCTCTCAGTTTGAAAAGTTATTCTCTATGTATCTGAAGCTTTCCTCCTCCCYGTGACCTCCCTTTCTATTTTTGGAATGATTTATAAACAAACTGGGAAGAACAAAAAAAACAAATTGAAGTAACCTGGCCCTAAAAAAAAATTACAATTCCCAATGGGAATAAAAAACATGTGAATAAAAGGAGGAAGAACTAGAGAAAGAAGGAAGGAAAAAACAAACAAGCAAACAACACCTTGCCATTTCAATATTCCTATCCAATTATTTTTCAGTATGCACAGATTTCTGGAAAATTTGAAACTCCGAATGGTTTTCTGTTCTGTTAGACTTTGAAGATTGTATATATTTGAAACTACTGATTCWAAGTGACTTAAAAGAAATTGAATGTAAACTTAACACTGAATAAATATGGAGGGCTTTGGGATTTCTTTTGAAAAAATAAAATCCAGAAAATTGAATGGTGGCTATTGTGCTGAGTCTTCTCAGTTTTTTTCCTCTTGTGTACATACATACAGAATGCAATAAAAATTGCCATGAGCTTGAACTTATGGGAGTCATTAAAAACTTTCTGTGTTTTATCCACTGTGCTTAGAATTCCAGAGTAGGTTTCTTGACAGAGGTTCAATTAATAATTAGTTTTCTCCAAGTAGGAAATCTTGCAATTCACTGTGAAATGAATTGTTTGTATTGTGGTGTTGCATCTTATCATTGAGAGCTGCAGGGTTCTTATAAAGTGTGGGTTTTGTTGGCAGTGGTGGGGTTTGAGTATTCACACATCCATCATGTGCACAGCCTGTATTCCATCTGCCCTGTGATTCCTGCACTGAGTGATTAATTATATTGGAGATTCTTCAGTATTTTGAGAGAGGTACATCGAGCTGCTAAAGCCAGGCTGAGTTTGTCTCTTCTGATCTTTGCACAACTCTTAGTTGCCMTATTTGTCATTGTGGGAACTGAGAGTGAAATGGTAATTCCATATTCAACAACTTGTGTTTATATATATATGTTTGTGTGTGTTCATATATATGTGTGTGTGTGCATTATAAATGTACACCATCAATAGTCAGTTTATAAATTGAACTTTGTTTCATTGCAAATACCATAAAATTATTTTCATGGCATATGTGAAGCTCAGGTATCTGTTTACACACCACTTTGCTGTAGATCTCTAAACTTGGCCTTTGCATAAGGTCAAGTCTTTATTCTTCGGTGTTCAGTTCCGTAATGACTCATCAGCAGAAAAGCAAATTACCCAGTGATACGTCTGCTATATGTGGATGTATACAGGAGCACTGATGTTTTGAAAAAAAAGTACTCAGGTTATAAACTGGAGTAAATTGTATATTGGAGTCAGCTCAATGTGAATTTTCAGCTTTCTACATTTTAGTTATATTTTTCAGTTGATCAAATGTTTTCATAGCAAGGAGAAATTGTCTTTCACCTCTAAATGTGGTTCTGGTTATGTCACATATTCTCTGAGGAGCAACAAGCCTATTTGTGCTATGGCGCATCCTAAAAAATTCTTCTGGACTTTTTCTGCTTTTTTGTTTCAGATCCAATCCTTTAGCCTTAGAGATCTGTTGTGGGCTATTTACTGGTGATTTGGCAATTGAAAATCCAACTGAAGGGTGCCAGTATACTTAGTAAGTGCTGTCAGAATGCATCATCTATGTCTGGTCTGCATTCCTGTAGAATCTCGTATGTGGTTCATCCTGGAAGGTTCTTGCTCTCCTCCTTTTGAATGAAGAGAAGTTGAGGGGATGAAAATGCACAAAAGATTAAGAAATAATCCTTAAAGTACTGTGCTAAAGTAAACAGAAGAATCAGCAAAAAAGTAAACTGAATAAAACAGGCAAAAGCCCTTGGAATGTAATAAAGAGTGCAGTTTACTTGATAATAGTACATTTTCACGAACAAAGCTATTTTTAAAATCAGTATTTCTGGCAACATAATTACCCTGTGCCCTCTTGTGTTTTCTGGTCATGATTTGCTGAGGTAAAGCAGATACCATTACAGTGAAATGCTTAGGTGTTAGCCCTATGCACCAAAATGGGTTTCAACTTGCTTGAAGAGGGAATAGCTTGGCTTAACTGAGCCTCATTAATGGTAAAGAGACCTGGTTTCCCTGTAAGGATAAGTGCCGAAGTTTATTATAGATGCAGAGTTTTAGCTTGGAGTTTCTTTTTCTGTTTTTGTCTCTCCCATGCTCTTCAAATATAGAGTAAGATCAGCCTGTGTGCCTTAGGAAAATATTTCTGCAATGGGTCTGTCAATTACTTGCCTTTTCCTGTGCAAGTGCTGAACTTTTTCCTTCCATCACCACTGGGGTGGTGTTGCCTGGAACTGTGGTACTGGAGATGGTACAAGCCTTTGTATGTCAAGGTAATGGGCTGGTGGCTTCAAGAGGGAAACCTACATAAGGATGGAGAGAGCRTGCTGTAGAGCATAGGCAGCAGGGAGTCCAGAGGGGAAAACAAATTAGGTGGTTCTCTCCCACAGAGAAATTCAGATTACAGTTTGTGTCTCGTTTACTTTGGGATAGCCTATGAGAGAGCAAGCTACAAGAAACCAGCCTTTGAATGTGCTGTCATCTTTTAGAGAATATTTCCCTCAGTTTTTAGCCCTGAAAGCAAAGACAGCTGGTACTGCACATTCTCTGTGCAGTTCATGAGATACTACAGGTATCTGGTAGTTCCATCCGTGATTTGTTTTTGAAGCCATCAGTCTTGTCTGTTTCACGTTTCCAGCCTGATGCCTTCAAATTCTATTTTAGCTTATGTTTCACTTTTTCCTTTTAGTTTTATGCCGCTGTAGGTCGCATTTTCCAGAATCAAAGGGGAAAAGGAACTCTTTCAAGTACAATTAGAAACAGTCTGCTGTAAAATACTTTTGAAAAGGTGAAATGGGAGGGAAATATCTTGTATTTCTTTCTCAAGTATAGGCCTATTGGTATGGGCATAGAGGTAATCTGGTTTTGCATCTTTTAGCAGAAGTTAGTCTTTTGGGAACAAAAATAATATCTGTGTATCAAATTCACAAAGGGACTTTAATAGCCAATCTTTAATATACTAATATTTTGTTTGAAGCTTGCCTTGATGTGTGATAATAAACAGACTCAATTTTTTTGTGCTATGTTGATATTTGAAAGAGACTAGGAAGAGAAGAGCTATCCTCTTCATATACTCTTCCAACTTCTAGGAGGCCCCTGTTCTTCCACTCCCCTTTTTTCTCTACTTGGGGTAGATTACCAATYGAGGGACAGGAATGTGAATACTTTGTTTCTATTTATGTCTACATACTAGCATTTAGCAGAGATGAAGATAATAGGGACATAGGAGTATCRCATGTACCACTTTAATTCAATTGCTTACTGTTTTTGCTCCTTATAGTTTTCTGAAAACTCCGGTAAAAGTTAGGTTTGCCTTTTTGAGTGTAGATCATATAGTTCACTTGTAAAGTGACTGGAAAAAAACCACCCTTAAATGTGCTCTATTTTCAGACTGGTAACTTTATGTTCTATTTTGTACTAGACAATGTTACAGTTATAAAATTGGTACTTAAATAGGATTATAGAATTATCATATATTGATATCTTCACTTAAGTGTAGATATCTGAAATCATGTCTTGAGTTAAAGTTGGCTGACTTAAACACTTAGTGTTTGAAACAAACAAGAACAGAGATCAGAATGAGGTTACTGAAGAATTTGTCTATTGTTCTTAGTATTTGGAAAAACCAAATCTGGATTCATACTGAGTGATGTGCGTGATGTTCGGCTTTGAATTTTTTGCTCTATGTCTTCAAAGTACATGTAAGCCAACTGGCTTAGTATGTGGGAGAGCTACCTGTTAAGAATTATCCTTTACTCCTCCCAGTCTTGTGACATGCTTCCAAAAGCCGGGTGTTGGCATTTCTTGCTGCCAGACTTCTGTACAGGCCAAGTAGCCATTAAAACCTAATAACTCTTCCCTCCCCCCTAATACCCATTAAGTTCTCTGGTGAATCCAAATCCATACTCATTAGCTCTGATTTTTGTAAGAACAGTGACCAGACTCCTAATATCTTTTACTTCTTGCTAGCTACCTGCTCTTTGGATAGGTTTCTCATGGTGTGGAACCTGAAGACATACTCCACAGCTTACAGACTTGCAGGCCACACAGAAGCATTGACCAGCGTAGAGTTTTCACCAAGTGAGCAGGTGTTGGCTTCAGCTTCTCAAGATCACACTATCAGGCTATGGGCTCCGTGCATGTGAGTATAATTGGGCAATGCGGGGTAGGTGTTTCATTAATGTGCAATTTGAAAATTCTTTCTCCTTCCCCCATGCCTCAGCTTTGGCAGAAGCAGAGAGTGGGGATCTCAAGCAGCACAGTTCTTTGCTGTATTACTTTGTTCTTTTCTGATTATTCTGTTGTTTCAAAAGAAAAGTATAGCAATTCAGAAGTCACTATTTCATGTGTGTAGAACTATGCTTCATAATATTTCTGGCTTAAAGATTATATATAATCTGTTTTAAAGATTATATTTTAATAAGGGTTGCATGGCTGTACTTCATTTTGGGGAGACAAGTGATGAAAAAACAAATATTTTTTCAGAAAAAAAAAATTAAATTGACTTGCCCTATTAGACTGGTCTTAAGTAGTAGTGGCTATGAGCTATTCAGAATGATTTAGATTGATGTTACTTGAACTTTCAAGCATTTTGTAGATTACTATATATAAAATAAATTCTCTTTCAAACACTAATGCTAATGGAACTGAAGGCCAATGCTTCTTAATTGCACTGTTCTCTAATATTGGTCACGTTAAATGCAACTTAAGGAATGTTATTCTAATAATATTTAAGTAGGTAAAAAAGTAATAGTGACAGTAATATTTGGCCTCTGTATTTTGCTTTTTCATTTGGGAAAGATTCTAAATATGTTAACACTGAGTTTTATGGGGATTTAAACTTGTTAAATTTACTATAATTGTGATTTGTGACTTGGAGTTTGGGGTTTTGTTTCATTTTCTTTGCCCCYCCCTAAGCTATGGAGAATCATCAGTTCTGAAAGGTCATACGGCATCTGTTCGGAGTGTGAGCTTCTCCCAAGATGGCTACTCTGTAGTTTCAGCATCCAATGATAAATCAATAAAAATATGGAGTGTTTGCTATCAGCGCCTTTTGTTTACCCTATTTGGACACACTCGTTGGGTTCGCTGTGCCAAGTAAGTGGTTTTTTTTATGCTCTTGGTAAAGTAGAAATCCTAACAAAGGGGATTTTATATCCTAGGGTAGAACTAAGAGAAGAACAGTCTGTGAATGACAAAGAATGATCTCTCATCAATAATTAAATTTTAATAAATGAATTTTATGTGCACAGGTTTTGTATATATCTCCTAGCTGAATTATGAAAGCATGCTCTTTGTTAATATGTGTACATATTTAATGAGTTGTTGTGTGTTCATTCTATTACATTAAAGGACACTTGGGATCTTCTGCATTTACTTTCAGTCAGTATCCTGTCCTTCCCCAGTTTTGTTTGGTTTTGTGCTATATTAACTTATTTCCTAGTACCTGTTGCTAAATTTTATCACGCATTGTTCTTGGAATGGTAGTGTCATGGAAGAATAGTCCTGAATCCAGATGAGTTAAATTTATGTGATTGGAAAAGGTGAAAGAAATAGCCTTTGGACTGCAAGTTGGGATTCATACTCTTTAAAGACAGGACAGTTCTTCAAAGAAAAGAGAAAATTGTTTGCTGATTGGTTTTTTTTTAATCTTTCCTTTCATATTAATGGAAAATCTGCAGCTAAGAGAGGCCTGATAAAAACCTCCAGAGAAAGAAATTTAACTCTGATGAAGTGTAGAGCCCTACAAAGTTTCAAAGTATCTGATTGTTGAAAAGAAAAAGACAAACTCTAGGAAATCACACATGAAAATTCTTGAACAATTTTCTAATGTCCTTGTGCAGTTGCTCAATAAATGAGATAATAATGCTTGAGGAAGTTATAGACAAGTTAATTTTCCTGTTTAAAAGCCTAGTCTGCTASTCTAGGAATAAGCGTGAATGCTTTGCCTGCTATTTTTAAGTCTAGAGAGAGAGCTCAATGGAGAGCATAAATGTGGATTAACATTGAACACGAGGTTCTACTGTATCCTCTTTGTCTTTTTGCCTATAGTTTTCTATAATAATCTCTTTGGCATCTGGACTGACATCCTTAGGTTGCTGATACCTTCCCTCTCGACCCCCTCTCTTTCTCTTGCTTATGCTCTGTTTTTAATTGTGCTTGATTGTGAAATGGGAAAGAGTAGAATAGGGGCAGAAGCTTTTCTTTTCAGTTACATTACTCCATGAGAAGAATGAGAAATTCAAATGTCTTTTAAATGTTATGTATCCAGATTTCAAATAGCCTTTCTTGGTTCTGGTGTTTTGCTACTTATGTCTCCAATGCTATTATAGTTAGTATCATTTGTTTAGTAGTGTATAAATTTGCATGTTCCAGATTTTCACCAGATGGAAGAATAATAGCATCTTGTGGTGAGGATAAATCAGTTAACATCTGGGATGCAAGAAATAAAATTTGTATTAATACCTTCTCAGATTGTGAAGGGTAAGTTTTACTAGAAAAAAGGACAAATGTAATAAACTAATCTTATTAAAATTACTCTAATATTCTGTGGTATTAAGAGCTATATATGTTAAATCTGAAAACATTTCAAAATTCTACCACCCATGTAAAGTGAAATGATTAATATAATAGTTTTCTAAAAARGTTATCTGGCTGCATTTATCCACCTGTTTTCCAGCAATCAAGAGATAATCCAAACAGAAGTGAGATTATTCTTGGATTTTGGAATGTTTTTTATGTTTTCCCTCAATTTTGATAGTGCTATTTGATAYTGGGTGCTTCAACAGGAGGAAAACTTGAAAATGTTTCCACTTGATGACATGAAAGCAATATTTTGTCACCTTCAGTGATCTGTCTTATTACAGTTTAAAAAATACTTGTGTTTTCCTTATATGCAGTTTTCTTAAACATCTTGGAACCAGATTTTTTTGTTAAGAAGTTCAGTGGAATATTTATCTTTTATGTGTGTTTTGCTGATTTTACGGCTGCCTTCGTCTTTTTTCAAGTCAAAAATGTTGTTATAGCTGGATACTTGGTTCTTGGACAAAATTATTTCACTTATTGCTTGCAGACTTTGCAGCATTATCTTCTAGGAACTTTGTACTCTAGCACAAATTCTGAAGGTTTGACTTGGATCAATTGCACCATATTTTCAACAAAAGTGAGATTAGGATTTATCATGCACATCTTGTTTTCTTATGCTTATTTCAGTTACTTAAAATGCCTTATTTGAGGTTCTATACATGTGGATTCCATACAAGTTTGTGGCAGCTCAGTGTTAATATTGTGGGCTTTTTATGTATRTATACCCCCGAATATTTCTGTGGAAACACATAATCAATCCGTTTTCATCAATTATATTTAGATTTGAAAATTTTGTGGCTTTCAACCCAAGTGGAACATGTGTAGCTTCTGCAGGGTCCAATCACACAGTGAAACTATGGGATATTCGAATGAATAAGCTACTGCAGCATTTAAAAGGTAAAAACAATGCAGTTTGGTTTGATTTCTTTACATTGGGACTTTTTGCAATTRAATATGATTTATTAAGAGTATGTTATTTCATTCCTCCCTGGGGAAAGTGGACAAACAAGTCATATTGACATGCTGTAAGCATCTTTTTGTGGTCTAGCAACCCTAAAAATCCAATTTGAATCCTTTTTATTTCTTTGCTTTGCTTAATTTTTAGAATAGAATTAAGCAAGTACTCTGGAGAGTATCCTATGCCCCAGCACTTAGGTTGTTTTGCTCTTAAATTAAGTAGTTCTTTGGGAAGTAAAAAAGAGCAGAGAAATAAAGTGTACATTTCCTCTTAGTAGATATCTACAGCCTTTGAATATTGTCTTCTGTAAATTAGTTCACAGAGCAGGGGTTAATTGTCTATCATTCCATCCTTCTGGTAACTACCTCATCACTGCTTCTACTGATGGTACCCTTAAGATTCTGGACCTCTTAGGAGAAAGACTTATTTACACTCTTCATGGACACAAGGTATACACAATTTAACAATTTAACAATTTAACAACCTTTAAAAGGAAATCTTAATAAGTTGTTCAGTATCTTCACAAAAGCAAAGTAATATTTGTGCCATTGTGTCTCTTATCTTGCAACTTGCAGATAAAATTTAGTGGATAGCAAGACATTGCATTAAAGCATTGTGTCACAAATAGTTAAGGAAATCTATCAGTTTTACCTGTGACCGTGCTTTTTATCTGTCAATGTTACATGGTTAATGTTAAGTAATAGCTCATGTTCTGAATTCATTAATAATTCACTTGATTTTCAAAATCATGTTATTTGGCACTTTAGTCTTTTTGTCTGTTGAAAAACAGTGTTTTCTAAAGAGAGGGAAGCTTACATAAGATAACTCTTGTGAAGAATGGCAGGCATTCCTCTTTTTCTTGTTAATGCCAGACAAACCCTATTTTTGTTAATAAATCATTCAAACATATTTCCTTGAGTAATTKAATAGAAATTTTGTAATTTTTTCATTGCAGAGCTGAAGTGTAAAATCTAAGGATAATGCCACTATTTTCCCATTATAGATTAGTGTAATTGTAATGCAGCATCTTACAAAAAGATGCAAGATTAACTCTTCAATCAAGTTGTTTTGGAGAAATTTCACTGCTGTAAAGTTGTTCCATATTTTAAGTTTAATTCAAATTAAAATTGAAAAATCTATTATATTAGGTAATGGCATCAGTATTTTTCTCTTTACACTGAAATACCATGATTACAGTAATACCATAATTTTACTGTATGCTTTTTTTTTCAGGGACCTGTACTTTGTGTGGCTTTTTCAAAAGGTGGTGAAAAATTTGCCTCAGGTGGAACAGATGCTCAGGTTTGTGGTATTGTCTCTTTAAATGTCTTAATGTTTGTTACAGTGGTGGGAGCTTAATATAGGATGTTACAGTAACATCCTAGTTATTCACATACTCACATGCATTCCGTCTGATTAGAGTGTTATACAGACTGTCCATTGGATGTTATGATGAGGAGAAGACTGCAGTACTAGCCACTTCTATTTTGCATATTAAAATAAATTATTTTTAACTAAGTATATTTAAAGTGTTGCAATTCAGTGTCAATTAAGTAGTTGTGTTGCAATTAGTATCAAGGTTTAGCTGCTTTGTTAGGTTTTCACTTATTTTGAAGTCTTTAGTGTGTAATTGTAGGAATTAAGTTGTATTATTGGGAAGACTTTGGCTAGAATTGGGGAAAAAACTCTTGTGTTGCCTTTATTAATTTACTTTGGTGAAACAGTAAAGTACTGGATTTTATAAAGAGAAGAGTCATTTGAGCATTTTAAAAAAAGTTTAACAGTAAGTCTTATAGTTAATCTCCATCTGCTTTAATAAATCTCATAGTTAAGAAAAACTATCAAGCTTGGAATCATCTCTATCAAGTCCTTATATTTTCCAAAAAGAAAAAGCTTTTGTAGCACAAGGTTTAAATTTTCAGTCTGAAATGTTCCTTAATGTAAGTTGTCTTTTTCATTGTTTCCTGTTACAAAAAACTAAAAGCTCAACRTTGATACAAAAAGCTATGCTGTAGAAATTAAGATCTCTTGAGCTTACTATAATTCATGATTATATTCTGTTTTGTGGAGTTTGAAATAAGTTTCAGCTAGTAGCAGAGATGGTCTTGGGAAAAAGAAAAATAATTGTTTTCTATCACAAAGTGTTAAATAAGAAGCACTGCCAAGACTTGAAGTTATTGGAAAAGTGAAAATGTTATCAAACAATCCAATATGAATTTTACAAGCGGGGAAAAAACACACAAAAACCAACCAAGAATGGAGGAAAGATATTTATTTCTTGACCCACTAGTATGGTCTTTTACTTTCTATACTAAAGTTTGAAATAAGAATTTAAGTTCCAAAATGCAACTTAGGTCCTAAGTAATTCTGACTTGTTGACCTTACCTTCTAAGAGTACTTTGARTTTTGTGACTGTTGTTATATTATATGAAGTGCATGTATTAATTAGATCACGACAGAAGATGAATCTGAGATGTTCTGATGAAAGCAAGAACCTACTGTATTAAGCCTAACACAGCCTCCTAGCACAGCAATTGAATGCCAGCACACCCTGGGAAAACTTGTCTTACTTCAAAGTTCCTTTGAATTTGGGTTCCCCTGAGTGATGTGTGCTCAGTACAGTTATGTCATTTTCTTTTTCATGCTCTGATTTCCTGTTGTAGAGCTGCTGAGGCATGAGATCATGGAGAAAGTAGGTAAAAATCTGTCTCACGTTTCTTAGCAGTTTGATATAGTGGGTTCATGATGAATATAAGAGAGAAGATCCAGTTTCATCAGGAAGCACTTTCTTAGTGAAATGTTGAATTAAAAAACATAATCATAATCATAGCAGGTCTAGTAACTGTTTAAGTTACCTTAAAAATGAGTGTTCCTGTGTTTGTTGAAGTTTTTCCCTTTGTTTTATGAAAGTTTTGGTGGAAGAGGAATACTTTGCTGCAGCTTTCACTTTTCTAATTTTTAAAATGTGCAATGCTAACCACTGTTGGGTAACTACCAAGTCGTATATCTTTATCTATAGTAAACATAAGAACTTTATTCCTTAGTGTCCGTTTTCTGTTGGTATATACATACATGTACTTGTCAAATATTCTGTTTTGCTGACCCATCCACAACCTTCATCCAGGTGTGCCAGRAGGATAGATGTGGGACTTCTCAACTCACTGTGGTTGTTGGTTTACTGTAATTGTAGGGTGTATTTGTTGGAAAAGTTCTGCTGGCAAATCAGCAATGTCATGTTTATGAGCAGAGGCTAGCCATAAAATCCCTCATGCAGTATCCAAAATATATTTTCTGTTCACAGCATGAGTTGGAGGCAGCTGATGCATTTTAAGTTTACTGAAGACTGCTTCCTTTATACACATATTATTTCAAGACTGTTACATTTTCAACAACAGATACAGGCTGGTTTTCCTCAATCAAAGAAGGAAAACCAGTATCTCTGCTTCTTGTTTCAAGTTTCTGGTTGGTGCAGAGCCAGCTGACAGTGTTCAGAAGCACATTAAATATTTGAAACAAACACTGGATACTTTTGTTTCTATTTGCTTCTTTCTTCAAAGGAAAAAARAACCTCGAGATGTACTGTTCTGAAGTTCATGTTCCTCACACTTTTGGCTATATGTGCACATGACAATTGATTTCATTAAACTTTTKCCGTGGAAAACATAAGACCTTTTTTGTGAAAGAGCAAAGTTATACTTTGGAAAGTGGTAGCCTGTGCTGTTAAATCAGTTACTATATAGAAGAGACAATTCATTGTGGCTACTTGATGTGAAGGGAAATACTTCTTTATGGAATATCCATTTTTCTCAGGTTGTGCATATTTGCTTTTACTTTTGCAATGCAGCTGAGATAGTCAAGACATAGGAATGTTTCTATGCTGGTTTTCAACTGTGAATCAACTAATCTAATACCTAARAGTTCTGCAAATGCCAGGTTCTGAGGAAGGTTTATGTAGTTGGACTGGGATCTGTGCATCTCTCTTTCACTTACTAATGTCTGAGTTAGTTTGGGTTCATCTTTATTGGTGCACTGTGTCTGCCAGTGCATATTCAGTGTCTTTGACTCAAGAGAGTCAATTGAACTTGTAGCAATGCAGTTACTGAGGAATATATTAAAAATATGATTTAGTGCACTTGAAATTTCTGTGAACAAATCTGTGATTTATGCTGCTTATGTATAGTTTGACATTTGAAAAACATCAAAATATTGGCTGGACAGGGAAGTAATTTTAAATCAGATTGTGGTCCCAACTTTGTTTTCTTTAATTTAGCTAGCAGCTGTAGATATCAATATTGGACTTTTGCTAATTTCTAAGTGTCTCAGACTTTCTTTTTTCTTTTATCCCTTAGTACTTCAAGTTAAGAAACATTTCACAAGTCATGTAAACTTAATTAAATTACTTAAATATGCAATTATTTTGTGACATGCAAGAGCAATRTTTGTGTATTATGATTTAGTTTCCCAGAATATTCATACAACTGCATAGAACACCTTTGGACTACCTCTGCATTCTATGACCTTCTGCATTTGGCCATTGCGTGATTCTTGTATATTGTTTCTACCTAGAATGTAATTGGACAAGGTTCAGAAAAGAGATTTCTGTTGCTAAAACGCTGGAAACCAGGTGTTTTAGAGTTCTGTGGAACTCTCTCATTTCTCTTACTCCTTCAAACTTTCTTGTTAGACCTGTAAGCCTTTATAGGGGGCAGAAATTTAGCAGTATATGACCCCTTGATCTGGCAGAAAAGTAACTTAGGATAATTCAGTGGGACAGAAGTTTCCTTTGTTTTATGATTATAGAGATACTTTAGAAAATATTTTTTAATAGATTGATTTTTTTAAATAGATTAGATTTGAAGTACAATATACTCTGGGGAAGTGCCTATATTGCAGGAGAGATCAGACTAAGAGATCRCTGCAGTCTCATTATGATGCAGTGATACATTAGTAATAACAATTTACCGAATAGTTATGTTTTGAACACTGAATAGCCTTCAACTGTTTACTTATATGAGGGTTTCTTGCAGGTATTACTATGGAAAACCAACTTTGATTCTCTGGATTATGCAGAAGTTCTCAAACACAATTTTAGAAGAACACATGTTCATGATCGTCCTCATCTTCTTGATATGTTCTCGAGATCATCTCATCTCTGTGATGAAAACCTTCAGTCAATTGAGGTGAATGCAATAAGTTGTCTCATATCGGAAACAAGAAGCTTCTGTAAACACTGTCTGACATTTATAGTTAAATATGTTTTATGTATACCAGAGAGCTTTGTATTGTTATGTATAATACTTTGGAAGCAACCATAATTTATGAATCTGCATTAGGGTTACTAGGCAGGCTGGCAGGTTTATGCTGTAGTTACTTTCATGCTTCTTTATGTCTGTACTCTACATCTGATTTAAACAAAACAGGTGATAGTCTGGTTTCTGAAAAAACACTGCAAGTGTTGCAGAAGGCATCTGAAGATAAAATGAGTTTTAGAATACTAATCAAAATACGTCATTACAAGCAGAACAAAGGGGCGTTATTACTGAAAGTCAAATGCATGACTGTCACAAGCTGTTCCTCTTTCCTAGCCTTTAGGTATTGTGAGAAGTTTTTGATATCTATCTAAAAGTTTAGGAAGACTTTCTAGGCTAGCGATGTGTTTTATGTCACTATGTAGTCTGATGTCCTGATATTTCATTCTTGAGCTACTTTACAGCAAACTATCTACCAGCATCCCTTGCAAGTGTTGGAAATTAGGAAACTAAACTGCAATGTTAAATGCTCTGTGTCAGTATTAGGAAAAATCCTAATTGTCAAATTGTCTGAAAGTTAAGCTCAGTAGGTGAACAGTGCTACGCCTTCAATGAGGCCATTGTTTATGCTTAATTTCTGACAGTCCCTGACAGAGCTGGCTGGCTTCTGCATGGTGATTACCTATATTTTGTTYTCTTCTTTGATATTCTCCAGGTTCCTCTAGTACTAAAGAACTGTATCTGAGATAAATCTAGGAACTTTCTGGTTGCTGTAATATGCTATCAGAGTGCTAGAGAAATTCACCATTGCCTGATTGTGTCCATAGATAAGGTAGCCATGGCATTTGTTTCCTGCTCAGAGCTTTAAAACATTAACATTTGAGGATATTGAGCTTTTTTTTTTTTTTGGTGGGTAGGTGTGTGTGCAATAGGAATACATGCAACATGAGTAATATGAAGATTGAAATCACTTTGCTGGAGGAAGGGAACTCTGATAGAACCCATGACTAAGATTTCTTCTCTACCTGATTCTATTCTGAAGTTGGRTGTGAAGCTTTCTAATGCTTAGCATTTTGGTCAGAACAGGATGACTGCATGTATGACAAGGTTCATAAACAAACTTCCATTCCAGACTTGCATATTTGTTGTAAGGTAAATGAATGAAGCTAAGTTTACTGGTACCAGCCATCAATATAGTTGGTCAGTGTCAGAACAAATTCAGTCACAGCAGTGGCCAGCAGATTCAAGCCACTCTTGCTGCAACAAATTTTGCATCAAGACCATTCAAATTGCACCCAGTTATAAAATGTGCTAAACAGAGTAGTTTATAGCTGCAGGATTCCATTGCTTTCTTTTCAGGTTAACATTTCCAGACCTCTCCTGATTAGAAGCCTGGCAAAGTGTGAATATATTCTAAAGCATTTTTTCAGAATTTTGTTTTCCTGTTCTTGGTCCTGGGTTATAGGGAAGTTCTGGAAAAGCATTAATGAGTTCAGGCTAAAGTTAAACTAAGGCTAGGAAGCACCTCATTATCRATACTGAAAGGGCTCATCAAGGAAATTTAATAGCTGAATGCCAAGAAATTATTTATTAGTTAGCTTTGACAGATTTCACTTAGCCTGATGKTTGCATTTATTCATGGCTGCAGCATTTGTAGCAGCTTATAGGCTCTTGGGTTAGCTGCTCTGTAGCAGTGAAAGGGCTCTATGACTTTGTCATAGCAGAGTTTTGGACTTCGTGTTATATTTTCTGGCCTGATTTCAGGATTTTAGAGTTGCTGTGTTTAGTTTTCTAGTAACATTACGTGTCATTAGAATGTCTTTCTCTCAAGTAAATATAAAGTGTGTTGTATTTTTGAGACAAAATAGTGTCTAATAGCTTCAATAAAACTCATATCACTGTAACATTATATTTTTATATTTGTAAATTAAATAATATGGTAATATTGATTGGAATCTCTTTTGCAGCTAATTTTCAGAATTAATGTAATGATTTAATCATTTAGATGGAGTTAAGGTGAAGTTAGGAAGTTTTATTGCTCCATATGTATTTTCTTGGTTTTATTGCCCCTCCTGTCTGTCTCAAGAAAAATGATGGGATTTTTGTTGTGATGAGGAAGAAYAGACCTCACCAACTGGACAAAAACATAATTTATCTAGACAAAACTACTACCAGCAGTAACATGCTTTAGTTTGCATGCACTAACTGTTAGGTAGCATTAACTGCTTGAAATTTTTTAGTGTTCCATCTTACATATTTCCTCTTGTAACTGAGAAAAAGCATAATGTCTAGACCCACTGTGCTATGCTGTGCTCTGGAGAAGGAAAAAAAAGAAGAAAAGTATTTTTGTCCTTTTTCAGTTAAAACGTTTTATTTTTTTAACATGCTACCCTATTTCTAAGCCAGTGGCAATAGAGAGAATTTTAGAGTTAGGCTGTTCCACTCCAATACCACCCTCATCTTTCAGTGGCTCATCAGGCTTCTAACATACAAGGGAAAGGAGGAATGAAATAACAGGCATGTCAGAGGGAGCTTCTGGAGGTCATCTATTTTTCTTATCAAGGCATATCAGTTCATCTGTGTCTGATTAAGGGGCCATGAAGAGGGATGGAGATGCCTCAGCCTCTCTGTGTGATCTATTCTACTGCAGTACAACAGTTGTAATGACAATTTTTTCTWAATGTCTCATCTACACCTCAGATAATATGCAGAACTGCTTCCTTTCTCRTTGCTTTCTTCCTTTCTCTTAGTGTTTCTATATGAATGGGGCAAGATAATTGATCTTAACTAAACAGAAGTAACACTATTCTAAGCGACTTGGTAGGGTGCAGGAGTTACAAGCAGGCAGAGGAGGCAGTTGAGCAACAGGATTTTTATAAGTATTGATGACTGTTTGAGGTTTGCCACAAGCCACTACAATGTCATCTAAATGTATCAATGATGTAGTGGCTTGTAGCAAGCCTTAAGCAATGTCATTTAAGTGCTTGAGCTGTGTTGTAATACATTGTCTTGAGTTACGCTAAACTGGTTTAGTCACTTCTGTAACAGGAATGAAGAGGTATTGCCTTAGGATAAAATGAAAAGTGATAGAACACAAAAAGTTCAACAGATGTACAGGCAGAATTCAAGAGGAAAATAATTCTCTCCCTATTTTTTAAAATCCCTAATGTTTTACAGTTTTTTGTTTTTTGTTTTTTTTTTTTTTTTTTTTTATTAAACTGCTTTTGGTTAGCTATTGCTTCTCTATCCCTGCTTGTCTCAGGTAGCTAAGTCCCTGCAATTTCAGAACTTGATTCTGGGGAAATAATACCCAAAATGGAGCTGTCTTAGGATTTATTCACCTGGGATTAGAGACACTGTTGCAAWGTTTTCAAAGAACACCTGTTGGAAATGCTGTTTTGAATAAAGCAGCTTGCAAAGGGGCATTAAGAACTATCACCTGACGCTTTGCCTTCAGGATAGTGACAAAAAGATGGAGCTTGAGTRTATTTTGCCTATTCTGATAACTTTTTCTAATTCACTCTTCAAAGCTATACATTAAACCAGTAATATTTCAGATACCTTCCCTATATTTTTCCCTCTACCTACCTGTTTTTTGAGATATAATTAACTTTTACAAGAAAATCATTAGTTGCGTCTCCTCTTCTGGCCAGCAGTAGCCTGAATGTCAATGCAGTGTTGAATTACATGTTCTTGACTTATAAATCTTTACTACTGTTCTCCAGTTGCACTGATCAATGTGATTCTTGAATGTTCAGGTAAGTAGAGACTTAATACCTATAATCATTGTAATTTTTCAGTGAACTTGAAAATGTAAGTAAATAACTTGTTCTCCAAAGACACCCGCATTTTTCTGTTGACCAGAGGTAATCTTGGGTGATTACCAGTTCAAATACAGGTGTCTAGCAGTATGTCTAAATTTAGCTGAGATAAATCCCTGTTGTTGTCTCTCTTTGACATAAGAACCTTGTGGAGTTATTTGAAAACAGTATCAGTTTTAATTAGTTTAATCAGTTAAGTGATTTTCGTGAAATATACTAAAAAATGCATTCCACTAGGTGAGAGTTGTATATMTGAATTTGCCATGTTTGTACATAATTGACCTTTCATATGCTAGAGATGTCTTTAAAATAAATGGAAGATGAGAAATAAGTTTCTTTCAAAGCATAGCTTTGAGGCTTGAACATATTAAGATGCATAGAGTTTGTGTTGCACACAAATAACTTCTGCTGATTTAATTTAATCTTAAAAATTCCAGTGTAATTTCAGTTGTAAATATTTTCTTAGGTGAAGGAAGTTCAAATATACACTAGATGGCAGTAGAAGAAGCCTTTCTTGGGCTTAAGAGCCCCAATCGAGAACAGAGAACAGTGTTTAATCAAATTGAAAGCAAATTTTCTCTTGCTACGTTTCAAGAGACTGTTTCACGAGTACGTACATCACTTTCCTAGGAAACACTTTGTGCAAGTCATTTAAAACTTCCTCTTTTAATTTTATGAACTTCATTTTTCTAATTCGTGAAGGATTCTAGAGAAATCTTCCCTTCAAATGTATTTTATTGTACTATGGATGAAAATGTGATAATTGCATTATCATATTAAAAGATGATAATGGAAAGACTTATTTTATAATACTTATTTATACTCAGTTTACCAGGTAATTAAAGCAAGGTTTTGAAAGAGTGTTTTTGAAAACTTTTAATACATGACAGTACCCCCTACCTTGCTTTTTATTGTCCTGATTCTTCTGTCTTGTTTCTTGAAGTCTTTTCAAAGACTTACCTTTGTGACTTCCCTTGGTAAGATTATTTTACAGCTAACTATGTCATCTTGTCAGGAACTGTCAAGTAATTTGAAACTTTTACATTTAGCTTCACTCCATTGTCTCATTAATTTTAGTGCAAAATTAAACACCAATATTTGTAAGAAGGATTTAGATACAGCCTTTATACTTTCGTGCTCATTTCTTCGGACACTTTTTAGATGCTATTTCTGACTAGCTGCTTAATAATTCTATAATTTTTTAATATGGTTTATGAGAGTTCCTGCATCCCTAGTATATGTTTACAGTGCTCCTCATCYTTCCCTTATCTCTGATAAAGCAGTCAACAGAAGTATGCACAGAGGAACTTTCATTCTAGCTTCATGTTGTGGCTTCCACAAAAAGAGCACTTTTTTTGACTTCATAATACCATGTATTTATTTACCAACCTGTATCAAGAATTGAACTCATGCTGTAATATCTCTGATGTATATAGCAAGGAGATATTAACTCAAAGATGTTTCAAGAGCAGTATTGTTGGTAATAATACTGCAGTAGTTCTTCCACATTAGAGTATTGATAGGTAGTAGGCACATACTGTCCCTCTTCTGTGGAATCCTGCAGATGCATTGTCCTCTCTTCAGTGCCTAAATGATGCATGCCAGAAAATTATTTTAACTTTACCTGCCCGTAGTATGATTGGCACTTGGATAAAACACTAATTATATTTGTTGTAGGGCTGACAATGTTTGAAAAAACTGACCCTGGTTATGCTGGACACTGAACAAATGTAAGCTCTTTGGGACACTTCCTGTCAATAGACATGATACTCATAGAGGCGAATCAGTAAAATGTGCGGTTCCTTTCTTCCCCACCTTAGCAGTGAAAAAGCAGTAAGCAATATTGTATTCAGAGGAGATTTCAATTAATCATGTTTCTGCAGAGAAGATGCTACAGGAGAAGTCTAGTTAAGATGGTAGGAATTTTGGCTAAATAGAAGATTATCACATAAACCATGTTACCTGGCTTTGGTTCTCCTTCCTCCCTTTCTTTCCTCCAAAACTATTTGACAAAATTGGAAGAAAGCAAGACTTGATCCTAATATCTAGAAATGAAGGAGAATTTGTAGTATTCAGTTGTGATGACTGTGGAGCAGAATGGGTTTTCTTTATTGCCATTGAGTCCCTGCTCATTCTGGATTGATGCATCTGTCATCTGAAGATAGAAAAAARGAGATCATAGATAAAGAATGGCTTGTTAAAATGGAATAAAAGAAAGAACTAAGCCCTGCTAGTCAGAGAACTAAAGTTTAAAAACAGTATTAAGGTCTTCCCTTAAGGGAGGTTTGTCATCTGTGGTTTGTAAGCGCTGCAAATGTGAGAATCACTTTCAATGTGAATAATCAGGTAATACCTGTTTTTAAATGTTTCTTTTCCTTTTAGCTTGCTAGTAAACCTTGTTCATTTTCTCCCACTTGTATTTACTGAGAAAGATTTTGCTTCTATTAATTTTAACCCAAATTTCTGCATGTAAATTATGGAAATCTAAATAAACGGCAGTACAAGGCAGTACAAGGTACTACTGCCCTTCTTCCCTGGCTACTAATTCCAGAGACAAGATTGTATTCTAGCTACTTAAACAAACATATCTCTGACCTAAAGGTTTCCAACCTAAAGTTAGAAAGAGTGTTCATTTCTCTTTATTACATCAGACTTCTTGGTGATTTGAATGTCATCTAGTCTTTCTATAAATTTTGCCAATTCAGAAAATAATAATAGTGCTTCCATGCATCATGCTGAGAGGGCAAATGTCTTAGGCTGCGATACACCTCGGTAATATAATGGTAGGGGTAATATACACATAGATTTTATAGGGAGGTTATTCTGATCCTTATGTGAAACCGTAAGATAAAAGCAGCAGCTTTCTCAAACTTCATAATCTCTGACACTTTCTTAATGCTTCACTTTCCAGAAAGGACATTAGCAAAATATTCTTAGTGATAGATTAACTCTAGCCAAAAAAAAGCAAGTTATAACTGTGATATTAAGAGCAAAATTGCAGATACTGTGATGACATATCTGACCAATCAGCCTCTGACATTGTCCCAGTGTAAAGCAGTTTCTCCCGTGGTTTCAGGAACAATGTCATTTGTGTTTGGTCTGTTAATTTATCACATTTCAGTGAYTTCGGTGTGACCTCCTACCTGTTCTCTGCAAAAGTGCTTTTCAAGTTACTTTGGCAATCAGAGTTGGTACAGAAGAAGTAAGCATATCAACAGTCTGCCTGTTAGTGGTAGATGATTTGAGTAACTTGAATGGGGGTTTGGGATCTGATTGATTTGGGCTGCTAAGTGTATCCTCACTTTTTATCCAGTCTTATTTCCCTTTCTCTGTTGGTGCTGAAATACTGATATCATAATTCATTTTCAACAGGTCAACCCTGCCCTTGATTTGCCTGATACACAAACACCTGATCCAGTTGTCATAGAGATTAGAACTTCTTCACCTATCAGTACTCGCGTAAGTTGCTAAAAAAAAAAAAAAAAGGCAAAAGGGTAGGCTATAGCTAACATGTTACAGAAATGTGCTTTTACTGGCCACATGAATGAAATAGATTTTGTAACAATTGTCAAGTGCTCAGAGCTTAATATCTTAAATTCTCAAACTCTCTGTCACAGTTCTTGAGTCCAACCAGAAGATGGTGTAATAGCAAAACTTTCATTTTATACTTGTAATTTTCCCACTATACTAAGCAAAACACATCTAAATATTACTCTTAAAATTCGTGGCTTATTCTCACTTTTTGTAACTCTGTCTTTATCTGCAAATAATGGGAAACCTAAAGCATCATCTCACTGCTACAATTCTGAAAGCAATCTTTTAATTTTTCTCCTTTTAAGGCATTTAATAGTTCTCTAGAAGGAAAAAGAAGTAACATTTTAAGATAGAATGATATGATTAGAGTCTTCTAGTGTTAGCTTTACATATGACATTGGTATGGCATGTGGGAGAAGAGGAAGGCAATGTTTTAAGCGGTAGTTTCGTAGGAGGAGAAGTATGCTCTCCTGATATGAAATCTAAAAAACATGCTGTTCTTGAATTAGATTAAAATGAGAATTTTAGCTCTGAATTTGTTCCTGTGAAGACACGAATTCTATCTTGAGCAATTTTAGTTACCATAAAGAGTTTGTGTGGTTGAAGRGTTAATACTTATGGAAAGGCAGCAGGTATGGTTTCTGCTGTTCTGTTTTGTCATGAATGCTTTATGAAAGCTATGTTGTGGAGGTACTGTATGAAATTCTTTAAGATCATTTGTTGAAGATCATGATGCACCGGTTCATGAGAAACCTTTATTTCAAAACAAATAATCATATAATAACTTGTATTTGAGAGGTGATAATGTTATGTATTTTAAGGTTTATCAGTTGTGTCATGTTTTCACAATGGAAATATGGTTCTTTGTAGACTTACAGATGTCTCTTTAGTAGGCTTCACAGATAGTGGATTGTGGTAGATATAACTTACTGACTACCCATCACTTTTAAGTACTCTATGTTCATTATTTACTGCTCATCACAGAGTTCGAGTGAGTGTAATTCTTTATTACATACCTACAAATCACTTAGTCTCCATTAATGCTTTTGATATGAAAGCAGCTTATAAAACATAATGCCCAGAACTTGTAGGAATACATTGACCCATGAGATACAGCATTTTTTTGACTGGTGTCTGTTTGTCTGTCTTTACAATCTTCATTATAAAAATGTTGCTTTGCAATTTATACTTTCTTACTGTGTCAGTAATCAGTAATCACTACCTTTTTTTTTTCCACAGTATTTTTAATCTACCATTCATCATTGAATCTCACCTTTCTGCATTTCAACATTCAACATCTACATCTTTGTCAATCTAGAAACATTTCTATATCCTTGTTACTTGAACTGTAGCCTTAAGGGCAACTGTCCTGTTCAACACAGCACCGTTCACACAAATTCAGGAATTATTTGCATATTTTCTTTGCCACTAATATCCTTCCTCTCCCATGGTAAATAACACTTTCTCCAACTTTGCTAACCTATCTGGTCCTCGCTGCTTTCTGATGTCAACTCTTCCTTTAGTATCATCTTCCTGTGCAGTGTCTGTTTGCTGCATTACCAGCATCTGTCATTTAGATAATTCTGTGGAATTATCTCCTGTTTCTTAATCAGACTAGCCACATWGACTCTTTGTGTCTTATTGTAGAGAGTTCTGGATCTCAGTGCCTTGGGCCTTTTCATCTGAAGCTTTCTAAGTTTTCCTAGTTTATGGAGACTCTGATAAAGGCTTAATGTGTTCTTCGTAAGAAACAAGGGGGGAAGGGCAGATGCTGGTTTTATTCCCATCACACCTTCACTGACAGATTTCCTCTTAATACAGTTTATCCTAACTGAATGGTACTRCTTTCGTGAATTTGCAGGTTTTTTTTCTTAATCCCTCTCCAGCTTGAGGTTGCAAACCTAATCTAATTCATCACCATATCTCATACCTATCCCTGATTCCAGCCACAATAGGTTGATCTTTTTCTACTGGTTATTAAAGACATTATCACTTTTCCCAGCAAACACAGCAAGACCCACTTTAAAACAGTTTATGGCTTTTTGGCCCTAATTCTACTGAAAGAATGCTGTTCAAATGACAACAATATTTGATCAGATTGTCGGGTTAATTTACACATGTCCTGTCTATACCTACTTATTCTTTTTGAAATTTTTTGCTCTGTCTTAAAGAGTTTTTCTGTCCTTCTGAAATGTGCAGAGAGAAAAACACACTCTGCACTTAGGTATCTATATGTGTTCTTGTTCAGTGTATTTTTCAAGCACATAACACAGCAGGAACCTAAGGGTTATTTACAAAACATATTGGCAAGTCCCTAGACCACTGGAAGTAGCTAATCAACATATTTAATTTTTCTGCTGAAGGAGAGAGATACTTGAGACAGTGATCCAAGAAAATGTGAGCCTTTAAATACAGCCTTTTTCTGGGACAAGTCACAACATTGAAGCTTTTATAGGATCTCTGGTAAATTCCCTAAAGCTCTCTGAAACRTCTTCAGGAAGATTGGAAGTCTATGCAAAACCTTGTAATATTTTGTTGAATAACACCAAGATTCCTGACAGTAAGTGGTCAAAAGCTCCTGTAGGTCTCAATCTAGTCCTAGAGAAAGGAGAATAGGAGAAAGTGCTCTTCTTATTGAGAATCTTTTCTGTAGCTGGAATTGTGTCTTGTCTTACTCCTTTGTGGGAAATGCATTATTACTACCCCTAAGATGATTTGTGACAGAGAAAAAAGGTATTTCCTTTTCCTTACTTCTGTGAAGATTTGTTAATGAAAATGATAGAGTGGTATAGGTTGAGAGAGATATCTGGAATCATTTCATCTAACCTTCCCCTTAAAGAAAAGCCAACTTGGATCAGGTTCTTAAAAGCTTTGCCCAGTTCATTTGTTAAGAATGTGTGAGGTTAGAGATTCCACTACCTTTCTGGGCAGCTTGCTCTAGTGTTTGTTAAAATTTTTTTTTGGTATATATAGCTAGAATATCCTATGTTCCAACATGTCTGTTGCTCTCAGTTTGCAGTGGCCCTCTAATATGTGTGTGCCTGTCTTCTTTTTATCTACCCATTAGATATGTGTGATGGCAGCAAGATCTCCTTGTATCTTCCTTAAGGCTGAACAAACCTGGTTCTCTCCCTTTTCTTGTCTATCACATGTCCCAGCCCTTTTGTCATCTTGTTCACTCTCAACTGGAATTGCTCCTGGATGTCAGTGTCTATCTGGGACCAAGAAGCCCAAAATAGGACACACTACTCCAGATAATTAAGGTGCATCAAAGTGTCACCATTATCTGTTCTTGATAACAGTCTGCCTAGAGAAGATTTTAAAAACAAATGTTTAAAAATCTAACACTCTTTATTCTTTACTGTGAATTTAAAATACATGTTTAGATATTATTTTAGGAGTTCATTTATTTTGAGCTATATCTATGAAAATATTAGTATTATCTCTTCCTCCCACTCCTCCTCTTTTCAAAGCATTTTAATTTCTTTCTTCATCAAAACCAACAATCCATCACAACTTCCACACTTAAAATGCGCACTTTTGTTTTTTTAAAAAAATTGAGCTGTATTTTCTTGCTTCAGAGGTTAAAATATGCAGATGTGAATATTCTTCTAGGGATTTTACTAAAAACACTGAAATTATTAAATTACCTGAATTGTAAACACCTTATCTTTTTAGCTTCTGTTCTAGCTTAGTACTAAGGCCAGTTTGTTTTGAACATGGTGAAAAATCTTTTTTTCATCTTTGGTTCATAGTGATGCAACTTGTTTTGTAAACTCAGTRAAGGGAGTGTGATCACTGTGTCAGTGGAAAAAATTTCAGTGTAATCTTCAGTATGGATTGCTTTCTTTTGGACTACAATTACAAAACCATTAAGAACTCCTGTGTATTATTATGGTTAGGAAATAGCTTTGGATTTGATGATTCATGTATTCAGTTTTCCTGTGTATTATTGAAAGCACTGTAAAAATTRGCTGTCTGTGCCTAACAAACTGGTACTTGTGTAATGCCCTGACTTTTCCAATGGTAAGAGTCCTCATGTGTTGCAGTTACTGTAGAAATTAGGTGTGTTCTAGTCTCTTGCACTKTGAAAATATTCACTAAATTTGGGTCAAATTTGAGGGCTGTTAGTGGTGTTTATTTCTTCTTTTTATTTCACTAAAGACGCTGAAAGCATTACTGCCTCTCTCCCACCCCTTCTTCTCTGTGTGTCAAGCAGCTTAACATTGCCTTTGTTTTCTGAACTACTGAAAAGGAAAAACTGGCAGTTTTGCTTCCCTTTGGGACTACTTCTTTCTGTTTCATCCTCTGATTTTAGTTTTAGCCATGAGGGAGGTTGGGTCTTTTCAATTCTGTAAGGTWATACATTGGTAACCTCTGGTCCCTGATAAGCTGTTGGAAACAAGGGAAAGTTGATGGTGCCTCGGTAGTTTTAACTGACAGCAGCAGGAAATCACTGTAGAGGCTCTCTACTGTTTCATCCCCTGACCTTGCTCATGTAAACAGGATCTGGAGGAAGCAAGGCAATGTACTGTAATCTGGAAGTCAGAATGTCTGTGCTGGCTGGGAGATGTTTGCTGTTCTTTCTCTTCCAGTGCCATTTCACACTAAAAACAAGACATTCTTATTGTTCGTTTACAGTAGAACTTCTACAAATTTAAGACTGGGTTAATTACTGAGTGAAGAAAGATAAGGAAATTATTTCTGTTTGGAGCAAAAAGAACATACTAAGTCAAGTTTTAAAAGAGAAAGTTTGTCTGTACTGCATTTGTAGTAGGTGTCTTGAGGCGAAAAGTAGAAGTACCTGTACTCTCAATTTGTTCTATACACATTGCTTTTGTAGTTTGTGTTTCAGGGTTTAGGTATTTTTGACAAACRTTTCTCTGCCTTGTTTTGAATACAAAAAAGAACCCCAAGCCCCACAG